GTATTTTCTTTGCTCACAGCTACTGTTAGCATTTAGCCCAAAAGATCTCTCTCTCCATCACTTTTTCTCAAGTCCACATGTTTCTTTGCTTTTGCTGTTTCTCTCACAGAAATATACAGTTCCACCAGAGAACTGCTTAGCTCTGTTTCTGACAAGCTGTGGGTATTCTCATGTTTTGGGTGATGGATCCTATTGCTTCAGCTACCCCATTCCATGATATTAATAGCAGTGCCTATCTCATACAGAGAACTATTCATCAGTAGATCTCAAAGTACTATTCAAATTATCTCAATTTTACAAGAGGGGAAACTGAGGCAAGGAAAGGCAACATGATTTGCCCAAGGTTACCCTGCTAGCCAGTGGCAAAGCTGGGAATTGAATTCAGGTGTCCTGAACTCCTAAAGGAATATAAACAGTTTCCTATATTTATCACATATGAAGTGTGGCTGTTACCCTATTCCACCCATCATTTTCAATGAGGCTTAGCACAATAGGTGCATCTAGACTGGCAAGATTTTGTGCAAAAGCAGGTGCTTTTGCGCAAAAACTTGCCAGCTGTCTACACTGGCCGCTTGAATTTGCGCAAGAGCACTGACTTTGTAATGTACAAAATCAGTGCTTCTTATGCAAATGCTTTCACGCTCCCGCTCGGGAAAATGCTCTCTTGCGCAAGAGGGCCAGTGTAGACAGGGAAGAACTGTTTTGCGCAAAAAAGCCCTGATGGCTAAAATGGAGATCAGGGCTTTCTTGCATAAAATCGCATCTAGACTGGCCGTGGATGCTTTTGCGCAAAAGCAAATCTTTTGCGCAAAGGCACTTGCCAATCTAGATGCGCTTTTGCAGAAATACTTTTAATGGAAAAACTTTCCCATTAAAAGTATTTCTGCAAAATCATGCCAGTCTAGACTGTGTGTGTGTGTTTGTGTGTGTGTGTGTGTGTGTGTTGTCCAGCACACACACAATAAACAAGGACAGCTATTTGTTTTCAGCATTATTTCATTTGATGCTTCATAACAACAGTTTAATACTATTAGGATCTGCATTTAAGTTTGACTAATATCACTATAGTCAAAGAAGGAATTAGACTGGTATACAATTTAACTCCCTTTTGTGTCAAAGAATATTCTCTGTATACTGTGGGCTGCAAACTAAATGTAATTTTCCATGTAAGATTTGAAATTTATCTTATCAAAGTCACAGTCTGCCATAAAAATGAGAGTTGCAGCACAAATTTGAAAACCCAAAGGGCATTCTTCTTAAACCTTTAATGGGAACAAGATAACTATTACATTTTCCCTAAATGTATGTTCAGTTGTTGACAGTGAATCTGGTGAGAAATATGTATGACACCTCCCAGCTCTACAGCATCAGATTTGCTTGGATATACGAAGAACAACATAATCAGTTGAAATGGAATAACACAGATTTTGAATTCAGCTTTGGGAAATAATTTAATATAAAAATGACAATTTGAAGATGTCTCTCAAAGACGTACTGATTCCATGCTAGTGTTAACAGAAAAGAAAAATAATATAATAGAATAGGCCATAAATTACCAATGTGTCGTGTATGTCAAAAGGAGACTTCAGACATAAATAGTTTTAAGGCAGCAATCCAGGTTTTGGCAGCTTTCAGGCCCCCAAAATACTTCTATCCAGGAACTGAGTGAGCATGAAAACTGAGGTCTTCTCAATGTACACATTAATGCCTCTGAAAAAGGGATTTTCAACCTCACTCACAGTGTAGACCTTATCTTCCGAGGGCATGTCTACACTATGGAGATTGACCCTCCGGAGATTGATCTTCTGCCATTCTATTTGGCAGGTCTAATGTACACCCTCAGATCAAAGGCTGAGAACAGCCCACACCAGCATCTGGTACTCCTCGTACGTGAAGAGTAAGGGAAGCTGATGGGAGCATGTGATCCCATTGGCCTCCCTCAGTGTAGATGCCACCGTGGCTCCGATTAAGGTAAGCCGAATACAGCTAGCATTTTGAGTCCCCTTAGACTCAGAAAGGTGGTATCTTTGCTAAGGCCCTTTTCTGTGGTGAGAGCAAGAATATGATTGGGGGGAGGAAAGAGCAAGAAATAACCGTGAATGAAAGGCAGACATTCTCTGGTATTAGATAATCCACCTCAGTATGACTTAAAATGAAGCAAGTCCCAAGGAAGATGAAGGAGAATAATGTGGGGGCTAAGTTGGTCAAGGAGACAACATGATGAAAACAAAGTAAAGGAGCCAGAGGTGACAAAGAAAGAAAGAAAGAAAGAAAGAAAGAAAGAAAGAAAGAAAGAAAGAAAGAAAGAAAGAAAGAAAGAAAGAAAGAAAGAAAGAAAGAAAGAAAGAAAAAGAGAAAAATTGTTGATTGTGGGGGGGAGGAAAAATGGTCTTGGAAGGGAGGAAATCAACTGAAGCTTAAAATGGGCCAAAACAAAGATTTGAGAGTAAATTCTTATTTATTATTTGATTACAGTAGTTCCAAGGACATCCAGTGAGATTTTTAGGCCCCCTATAAACAAAGAGTAAGTGGTAGTCCCAGCCCTGAAGAGCTTATAGTTTAAATATTGAGACAATTAAAGGAGGAGGGGTGGGTTGTACAAGGATGGTGAAGGAAGTTTCACACTGGATTTGCACATAGGAAAAGGTGCAAGTACAGAGTGGGAAGCCTTACCTCCTGGGTGACTTCCCCTCTTCTGTCTCGGTGAGGTACTTCATAAGCCTCCATTTGTTGCTTTGTGAGTCGGGCTAATCTTTCTGCCAGCTCTCTCCAGCATTTGCCAAGCTTGACAGCCGAAGTCAAAAGGACAGTGTCCTGGGTAAGGCGTGCTACTAATCCTTGGCAGTCTAACTTCAGAAGTGCCTGTAGTAACAATTTTTAGAATCAAGCTATTTGATCAGTATTTAAAAGGAAGTAAATATTGTTTGTTTTTGTAACTATCCAATAGATCTTTTCAAAAGTTAAGGAAATCTAAACCTTTTTTGGTTCTTTGTAAATAAGTAATTATGTTTACACCTTTGAAACAAAAAAGGGATTGCCAATAATTTGTATAGGAAAGTTGCCAGTAAGCTCAAGAAAAAATTAAATTGGCATCCCATTGCTTCAGCACTCCAGTGTCAGTTGAATTCTGCCAAGTTTGAGGATCCTGAAGGGAAAATAGCCTTCTCCAACATAAATATTTGGGACCTAACATTTAGCTTCATGGACCTGAAAAATGAAATCAGAGCATGGCTATAATAAGGCGCGGTCCTTGTTCTGCTTCTTTTCCAGAAAATCACTGATTACATTGGCCAGAGCATTTTAATTTAATCCCTCCACATACTTGATAATTTTCTGACTATGATTCAAACTTGCAAGGACACAAAAAGGGAAACACAATGTGTTATTTGGAACAAAGCAAATTAAAATGTCTCCAATAGAAAAGTCCTGAAATGAGTACATGTCACATTTCTGTTTTCTTACTGGCTTAGTTTAGAGCAGAGTGAAAAATAAAGTTTTTTCTTTTTTTCCTGAAGAAAAGTGAAAACATCTACAGTTCAGTGAAATACCAAATAAACAAAATATTGCATCCAAAAATGAAAGTTTTTGATTTTCAGATGTTCAGAGAGTTTATACAAACTATATACATTTTCTGAAGAAATCAAATATTTTTCAGGAAACTTTGTTTAGCTGAAAATCTAATTTTCTCTTAAAAACTTTTTAGAGGGAAACTTTTCAAAGGGGGTGCAGTTTGTGGGGCTGAATGAAACCCCTGATCTGTTCTGCCAGACCTTTTGTGGGCAGGGGTAATTTGCCACAAATAGAAATAGTGTTCATTGCCAGGTACAAATTCATTCAGAAGACTGAAGCTCCAGTTCTGAAGTCCTTACTCAGGAAAAACTCCAACTGAAAGCACTAGACATTTTGCCTATGAGCGGATTCAGAACTGATGCTTCAATTACCAAATAAATCACCATTATGAATTTTGCATTTTATAACTTTAATAGTCCTGCGTCTATAAATAACTCTGGATGTGCCTTGTTGCAGTTGAACGGTGCAGGGAAGGGAAATCTCACAAGTTCTATATAAAGAAGCAAATCCTGAATCCCCAGACCAAAATATAAATATATAGGCCTTCTCTGAGACACAGGGAGCATGGAATCCTCTTTTTTCCTCAAAGAGCAGCGACATAGCTGCCTCAAAACTGCCACCTCACACAGGCTACAGTAGGGTCCAGCCCTTGTTCTCTGGGCTTTTCCAGACAGCTAATCAGCATATTAACAGAAATACTCACTATATTGCTGCCCCTTCTGCTCACCTTACCTACTGAATGCTCCCATGAATTGCTGTGGAAACAGCTACAGCAGAACATTGTTCCATAGGAAGCTAGTGGTTGAAATCCTCTCTGCCCCAACCTCTGCTCAGACTTCTCTCTTCCCCACAACACAGAACTGATAGTGTTACCACATGTGACAAAGTGTTTTTTTTTTTGCCAACAAAAGCTTATGCCTAAATAAATCTGTTAGTCTTTGAGGTGCCACAGGACCCCCCATAGTTTTTGCAGAATACAGACTAACATGGCTCTACCTATTGAAGCACTGGGATTCATCCTATTTTAAACATTAAAAGGACCTTCTCTTAAGTGGCATGGATGATACTATTTCTGTAACTATAGCTCTTCCAGGGTATGTGTAGACTGCAGGAGGCATAAGGGATCTGTTGAAAAAGGCTTTCTTTCTCAACAGATCCCCCTCTAGACTGCCGCTTTTTGCCGACAAAGTGCAGAGTCGGCAAAACACGGTGGCCATTTTTATGCAAATTAGACACGGGATATTTAAATCCTTGCCTCATTTTCAATGTCAACCTGCCTAATTTACATCTCTCTGCTGACAGAGGGATGCAGTCTAGACATACACCTAAAGGCAGCAAGCCAAATTTGCATTTCAGAGCTGGAAGTTATATGCTAATCACAGATAAGATATCTCTTAGTTCGTTGATATCTCTTTTGTCCTGGAATTTGAAAATAATCCCTGTCTTATATTCACACAGCACTATCTCCATTTGATAGGCTGGTTAATTTGTCCTTTAATTCTCCTTGAATGAAGAGAAACATAAATGAACCCAATTCATTTTAATATCACTACCTGGAATGTTAAGCTCTTTACTCAGTTTCCTAGTGGCCACTTCTGCCATTGTCTCTGGGTGGCGTATTTCTCTGAGATCGTTTGAATGCTGACTTTCCAAAGGGAATGAATTAGTTATGTGAGGTAGCACTTTCAGTGTGACTGCAATACAGGAGCAGCTAAGGTATGTCTATGCTGCAATTAAACATTCCTAGCTGGCCTGTGTCAGCTGACTCAGGGCTTGAAGGGTTCCGCCTATGCAGCTGTTTAATTACAAAGTAGACATACGGGCTTGGGCTGCACAGTGCAACATGGGGAAAATTTAGTTGTGAACCCACAGTTATGAATTCCTCGGCGAGCCATTATTATAACAAATATAAAGCTTAGCTCTCTACTATTCTTTTGTTAAGCAATCTAAAGGCATGTCTACCTTTGGGAAAGATCAGTGCTGCTGCGGTTGATCTTCCAGCTTCAATTTAGGTGAAGACATGCTAAATAGAACTCAGAGAGCGCCCTCATCAGTGCAGGTACTCCTGCTCCTTACAAGGAGTAGTAAGGGAAGCCAATGAGAGCATTTGATGTCATTTACTATCTGATTGTTACTCTCAACACCACTTTTTCTTGACTTAACACAAACCTTGTTGTATATATGCACATTTTCAGATGTAGATTGTATGAGGACTATAGGTTTTATAACTCAAACTTTTTAAACGTGTGCTTACAATTTTCAATTATTGTAGTCATATTTGCAAAGAGTCACAATACAGTACCAAGGTAATATCATATTTCATTACTGAAAATCATTACTCATAAACAATACTCATTTACTATCCATACAAAACAGATGAATCCACTTGAACAGTACTCACAACAATGAGTTCATAAAGAAACTGCCTTTTGGGTCTGTTAGCATGGCAATCTTCCTTCAATTTCTTCACCACGTATGCGACTCTTTCTGATTCTTTATCTGCTGGTACCTCACTGAAATCATTCAATGACATATGTGAATATCCTAGCACATTAGCCAAAGCTTTCCAGTTGTAAACACTCTCTGATACCGTAGATAGGACTAAGGAATAGATATATGTCAGTTTCTTAAAAGGCAGTGCAATTTGTTCTAGAAGATTCCTGGTAGGCAGCAGGCTATCATTGATATCCATAGCTTGTTCTTTTAAAATCACTTTTACATTTTTACAGTGCACAAGACCAATCTTTCTTCGAAGAACTCCGACATACCATTCTTTAACTTTAGTTTGTCCAATGGCCTTCACTTTGTCTTCACCGAGCAATGCTATTGTATCCCCTTTAAAATACTCTAGTAAATAGTCTATCTTATTCTGGCGTAAGACAGTTTTCAAGGCCACTCCATAGTTGGTAATATTTAAAGTCTTATCTAGAAACTTGGGGTATATAACTGATGGTGTCAAAAGAAAAGGAGCTGATTTGATCTCTTTGCGTTTCTGTAAGCGGGTTGGCTTACCAGTCATCCCAGTTAACTTTGGAGCTGGATCAGGAGTTGTAATATGGAACTGGGTTACAAGGTTATTATTTGGGACTTTAATCTGAACTAGGAAGGTGAACAAATGCATTTCCCCAGTTCCCAGTACAGAAAATGAAAACTGCTGTTGGACAACTTCACCTGCTTTCAACTGCCCTTCTTTAATTTCTTTGTTTTGATCTTCCAACTTCACTTCAAAATCGGGATCACAGGATATCAAAGAAACCTTTAGATCTTGTAGCTTATCAAGTACAAATGTATGCTTTCCCCACAGCTTAAACACAACTGGAGGCATGTTCTTTCCACCCTTTTGAATGTCACAAATTGTGAGTTTTTCTGGAATGTAGTTATGACCAAAGGCTGTAAGAACTGCAGTGAAAGAAGGATGAATATGTTTGGGCCCATAAATTCCAATAGACAGGGTTCTGTGGATGTATTCCCAAACAGTTGTAGCCAGAGACTGAATTGGGTTCGTTTGTACTGCAATGACTGAATACATCACATGACTTAGATCTGTCAACTTCACCTGTAACGTATCTGTGAAAATGTAGTAGTTGTGCAGCTTTTCAAAAGGACCTTCTTTGTTGAGACTATAAAAGCACACAATTTCCGTCATAACTTGACTGAAAGGATCCTTTTTCACTTCAGCTGCAATTTTCATCTCTAGTAAAATGGCTTCCATTGTGTTTAGGTTACTTAATGTAAGTTCTATTAATGGGCTCACAGTGCTTGAAAGATCATGATTAAGTGATTTTGGGGGATTCAGAATAGCTCTTAAACCAACCTCCTGGAATTCCCCAGGTGATACATGACCCTCAGGGATGTGAATTGTGATATCTGAATCAGGTAGCTGCACTGAACCCCCTTTATGATTCACCTTGAAGATTACATGAGTGTCTGTAGGTTGTGTTTGTGCCCATCCTGGACTATGACTCATCGCATCCAAATCTAGACAAGATCGGGCCAGCTGTCGATGACTCAACCATGCCATCTTGTAGGCTTCACGGTCATTTTGAAGCCATTCCATGTCTGCATCTAAAATCTGGCCAGAGGATGCTGTGTTGTCAGGATCAAAGCTTTTGTCATCTACAATATCCAGAAGTTCAGAGGCACTCTTAGATCTCCCCGATTTCCCTGCTGCAACATTCCTCAGAAGATGATGAATATCTAGCTCATCACCCGATGAAGCAAAAGAATCCCTGTTACTTGAATCTCTGGAGAACAAATAGGGGTCTTCTTTTGAGACAGAAATGTTTTTATTGTTCTTGTCACTGTTATTTAACTGAGCTACATCGGATAAAAAAGGGTTGGACGCTGACAGTTCATTCCAGAAAGGATTAGTCTTGGGAACAGTATAAGCATGTTGTTTGAACACCTCTGGCCAGTCAATGATTGAATCCAATTTATTCTCTTTGTCATCTGTTTAAAAAAAAAACAAAGGTAATTATTCCTATCCACACTCAAACCCTATTTATTGGACAAAACTGGCCAAATTCATCTCTTCAATAAATCTCTTGCTGTTGTTACAGTACACTAGGACTACATTTATCCAAAGTTAAAAATTTTTAAAGCTTGTGAGTCATTTAGGGTCAGTTTATACTTTCATATTACTTTCAAGGTTTTAAACGTAACCAACAGAGTGTCAACTATGTAGACATATTTAAATTTGGATTCAAGGAGTGATATTAACAAAAAAACACCAACAAATTAGTCCTTATAATATGGGTTGATATTGCAAGATATGGAATATTTGCAGCACGCCTTTTAGCACCTGCAATTCCCAGCAGTAGTAATGGGAGTTGAGAAAGCTGAAGTCCATCAAGAGCAGACCCTTAAACTGTGTGTTCTAGTGAATGTTGTCCACTAGAAAGACCATTGGCATTTTTTGCCCAGTGGCTTGCTGTGTGCAGAAATACAGTGGCTAACGCTTCCATTTTGGAAACGATCTTATACTCACTGTGGAAAAGATTGTACACCATTCAGACTTCCATTTCTTCCTAGCACAAACACCTCAGAAATGCTTTTGTTGAACTCATTTGGTTTCAGCCCTAGAAGAATTTGCTCATATTTTCACTGTAACAATCCATAACTCTCATTAGGCTAGAGTCAACTACACATTTTACATTTGGAATCGGCAAAAGAGTGAATTTTTCCATTTGATTATTTGTATAGTGAATAGGAGTAAAAAGTAGGGGGGAAATCTTTGTTTCTTATATAGACAATATTTAAATACCCTTTTAGACTGAAATATGCATTGCTAGCAATAAAGTCTATTTTACTATGTCTATTTCTTGTTATAGATGTGCGGACACCCTTTTGTGTAGCACTCATATAGAACCAAAAGCTAAATGAATAAATTTGCATGGTGACAGTATATGGTAATTAAAGACTCCATTGCATGAGAAGCTAATTACCCCCTGCAAGGAACTGACTGAGAGCTTGCAACTCCCATTGCCTTACACAGGTTCTCTACATGCAGATAATAACACAAATAATAGCATTGAAAGGGATTCTTTCTCCTTCCCCAGCCACAATCTGCCAGTAAAGTTCCTTTATCTTTATTTAAAAACTAACAAAAGCAGCAGCTCAGCCTGGTTTTATTTATCCCGTTCGGCACACTCATGACTCCCCCTTTAATGCTGTCTCTCCCTATAGTTTATTGCTCCACCCTTAAGGTTACTGTAATTCTTACAAATTGAGCTGTCATTATGCCAGCTTCCCCCTACACCGGAGCCGCTCTCAGTACTGGAGATGAGTGTGGTAGGGTGATATGGACCTGACTGCAGCTTCCTGATTCGGAGGATGAGCTCTGGCCCCAGTAGTACTAACAGCTACTTCTGGACAAAGATCAAACTGACATGACTGATGTGCAATCCTTAATAGACCCTATGCTCCTTTTCTCTCTCCCCTGACATGCCCCCTTTGCGGATGGAAATAATGCAGACCTGGACCTGGTGCAACAGTACCCAGCAGAGTTCGCCTATACCAAGGAAGTATTCTGCTGAGCATTTGCAGCTAGAACGTGGCCCATTACACTGTGTGAATAGTGCAAAGGATACATAATGCAAAAGAGAGGATGTTGCACTGGATTTAAGACAACAAACTTCCAAGCAGAATAGTTCTTGCTTGGCTATTGGTGTCAATGAGAGTTTTGCCTGACTAAAGCCCACAAGGTGTGTTAGCCCATTATAATAAACAGACCTGGCAACTCGCAGCTTGTTGAAGGTTTTCTGTCATCCACGTCAATCACAGTTCCTTCGGATCTACTCCGTGCTATCTCTCTAGTGTGAGAAGAAGTTGTTCTGCTAGTGGACATTTTTTTTCCTCCTAGGAAATAGTAGGGTATGTTAGTGAGTGTACAGTTTGAGAAAGAGGAAGCTGACTGAAGAATTTTTGAGCACCAGTTCTGCAATGTGACACATGTGGGCAGAGCCTGAGGTTTCATCTTGGGTGCATAGGTCTCTCCCTTTGTATCACATTTCATGACTGGAGCTTCAATATGTAAAGTAAAAGTAAAAACAGTACATTATGGTCCAATAATGACTTATGTCCTATAGAAAAGACAGGACTATGTAGCACTTTAAAGACTAACAAGTTGGTTTATTAGGTGATGAGCTTTTGTGGGCCAGACCCAGTTCGTCAGATCAATTTGTGGAAGAAAATTGGCATGACCATATATACCAAAGTGATACAATCAAAAAAAAGTGAACACATAAAATTGACAAATCAGATTTTCCTAATAAACCATCTTGTTAGTCTTTAAAGTGCTGCATAGTCCTGTCTTTTGTTTCAGCTACACCAGACTAACATGGCTGCATCTCTGTCATTATGTCCTATAGGTCATGTATGTGCTTTGCTGAATTGAAACTGATTGCCCCCCCCCCCCACACACACACACACAAAATTCCAGTAACTTCATCCTACTGTATCTTTAACAAAAATATTTTCAAATTAAGCCTTTTATTCTTTGCAACTAGGTTCGACGGGGACAGGTGAGCAAAGCCCACAGGTAAGTGCTGAATGTGCGGGACTGGGAGATGGGTTGGAAATGGGGGGGACTACGGCCTATAATGGCAAGGAGAAAGGAGGGTCAGGGCACAACAGGGAGGCAAGATCAAATCAGTATCTTAGATGCCTATATACAAATGCGAGAAGTATGGGTAATAAGCAGGAAGAACTGGAATTGCTAACCAATAAATACAACTATGATATCATTGGTATTACAGAAACCTGGTGGGATGGGACACATGATTGGAATGTTGGTATGGAAGGGTACGGCTTGCTCAGGAAGGACAGACAGGGAAAAAAGGGAGGAGGGGTTGCCTTGTATATTAAAAATGTACACACTTGGACTGAAGTGGAGATGAACGTAGGAGATAGCTGTGTAGAGAGTCTCTGGGTTAAGCTAAAAGGGGTAAAAAACGAGGGTGATATCATGCTAGGAGTCTACTACAGGCCACCTAGCCAGGTGGAAGAGGTGGATGAGGCCTTTTTTAAACAATTAACAAAACTATCCAAAGCCCAAGATTTGGTGGTGATGGGGGACTTCAACTATCCAGACATATGTTGGGAAACTAACACAGCGAGGCACAGGCTATCCAATAAGTTTCTGGACTGCATTGGAGACAACTTTCTGTTTCAGAAGGTTGAAAAAGCTACCAGAGGAGAAGCTGTTCTGGATTTGGTTTTAACAAATAGGGAGGAACTAGTTGAGAACTTGAAAGTGGAAGACAGTATAGGGGACAGTGATCACGAAATAATAGAGTTCATGATCATAAGGAAAGGTAGAAGGGAGACCACCACAATTGAGGTTATGGATTTCAGGAAGGCAGATTTTGATAAGCTCAGAGAACTTGTAGGTAAGGTCCCATGGGAAGCAAGACTGAAGGGAAAAACAACTGAGGAGAGTTGGAAGTATTTCAAAGGGACGTTGTTAAGGGCCCAAAAGCAAACAATTCCGCTGTGTAGGAAAGATAGAAAATATGGCAAAAGACCAGCTTGGCTTAACAAGGAGATCTTGCACGATCTCAAAATAAAAAAGGAGTCATATAAAAAATGGAAACTAGGACAACTAACAAAGGATGAATATAGGCAAGCAACACGGGAATGCAGGGGCAAGATTAGAAAGGCAAAGGCACAAAATGAGATCAAACTAGCTACAGGCATAAAGGGAAACAAGAAGACCTTTTATAAATACATTAAAAGCAAGAGGAAGACCAAGGACAGGGTAGGCCCACTGCTTAGCGAGGAGGGAGAAGCAGTAACAGGGAACTTGGAAATGGCGGAGATGCTCAATGACTTCTTTGTTTCGGTCTTCACCGAGAAGTCTGGAGGTGTGCCTAACGTAGTGAATACAAGCAGAGAGAGGGTAAGTTTAGAAGATAGGATACACAAAGAACAAGTTAAAAATCACTTAGGAAAGTTAGATGTCAGCAAGTCACCAGGTCCTGATGAAATGCATCCCAGGATACTCAAGGAGCTGATAGAGGAGGTATCTGAGCCTTTAGCTATGATCTTTGAAAAATCATGGCAGACAGGGGAGATTCCAGAAGACTGGAAAAGGGCAAATATTGTGCCCATCTATAAAAAGGGGAATAAGAACAACCCAGGAAACTACAGACCGGTCAGTTTAACGTCTGTCCCAGGGAAGATAATGGAGCAGGTAATTAAGGAAATCATATGCAAACACTTGGAAGGTAATAAAGTGATAGGGAATAGCCAGCATGGGTTTGTGAAGAACAAGTCATGCCAAACTAATCTGATAGCTTTCTTTGATAAGATAACGAGCCTTGTGGATAAGGGAGAAGCGGTGGATGTCATATACCTAGACTTTAGTAAGGCATTTGATACGGTCTCGCATGATATTCTTATTGATAAACTAGGCAAATATAACTTAGATAGGGCCACGATAAGGTGGGTGCATAATTGGCTGGATAACCGTAGTCAGAGAGTTGTTGTTAACGGTTCTAAATCCTGCTGGAAAGGGATAACAAGTGGAGTTCCTCAAGGGTCTGTTTTGGGACCCATACTGTTCAACATCTTCATCAATGATGTAGATATTGGGATAGAGAGTACGCTTATTAAGTTTGCAGATGATACCAAACTGGGTGGGGTTGCAACTTCTTTGGAGGATAGGGACATAATTCAAAATGACCTTAGCAAGTTAGAGAAATGGTCAGAGGTAAACAGGATGAGGTTTAATAAAGAGAAATGCAAAGTGCTCCACTTAGGAAGGAACAATCAGTTCCATACATACAAGATGGGAAGCGACTGTCTAGGAAGGAGCATGGCAGAAAGGGATCTAGGGGTCATAGTGGACCACAAGTTGAATATGAGTCAACAGTGTGATGCTGTTGCAAAAAAAGCAAATATGATTCTAGGTTGTATCAACAGGTGTGTTGTAAGCAAAACTCGTGAAGTCATTCTGCCGCTCTACTCTGCACTAGTTAGGCCTCAGCTGGAGTACTGTGTCCAGTTCTGGGCGCCACATTTCAAGAAAGATGTGGAGAAATTGGAAAGGGTACAGAGAAGAGCAACAAGAATGATTAAAGGTTTAGAGAACATGACCTATGAAGCCAGGCTTCATGAACTGGGCTTGTTTAGTTTGGAAAAAAGAAGATTAAGGGGGGACATGATAGCGGTTTTCAAATATCTAAAAGGGTGTCACAAGGAGGAAGGAGAAAATTTGTTCCTCTTGGTTTCTGAGGACAGGACAAGGAGTAATGGGCTTAAAGTGCAGCAGGGGAGGTTTAGATTGGACATTAGGAAAAAATTCCTAACTGTCAGGGTGGTCAAATATTGGAATAAATTGCCAAGGGAGGTGGTGGAATCTCCCTCTCTGGAGATATTTAAGAACAGGTTAGATAGACATCTGTCAGGGATGGTGTAGACAGAGCTTGATCCTGCCTTGAGGGCGGGGGGCTGGACTCGATGACCTCTTGAGGTCCCTTCCAGTCCTATTATTCTATGATTCTATGAAAAGCATGAGTGGCGTGGAGAGGGTGCATAAAGAAAAGTTCTTCGCAGCAGGGGAGGTTTAGATTGGACATTAGGAAAAAATTCCTAACTGTCAGGGTGGTCAAATATTGGAATAAATTGCCAAGGGAGGTGGTGGAATCTCCCTCTCTGGAGATATTTAAGAACAGGTTAGATAGACATCTGTCAGGGATGGTGTAGATTGAGCTTGGTCCTGCCTTGAGGGCGGGGGGCTGGACTCGATGACCTCTCGAGGTCCCTTCCAGTCCTATGATTCTATGATTCTATCCGAGTCCCTGTTTAGAGATAGGATTTAATACAAAAATATTAACCATGGAAGTTCATATCTGTTCATTCCCCAGCCAATTTCAGATAACTAACTCTCCCTCCCGCCTCCCCCTGTGCTCAGCTCTTCTTTTTATGCATTTCTTTGAAGGGGACATCGGATCAGATTCTCCTCTCAGTCAGCACAAATGTAAATCCCCGTCACTGGGTGTCTGGACTCTGTAAATGTAACAGGCACTCCCAGCCTTGCCAATTAAGAGGCAGACAGCACCTGGGATTATGAAGGATGAGGGAGAAGCTGAGCAGAGGGACACCCAGGCTACATCTACACTGCCGGGTTTTTGTGCGAGAACTGTTTTGCCGAAGAGTTCTTGTGCAAAAAGTCTTCCACAAGAGCACGTCCACACTGCCATGTGCTTTTGCACAAGAGATGTGCTTTTGCGCAAGAGCGTCCATGGCAGTGTGGATGCTCTCTTGCGCAAGAAAGCTCTGATGGCCATTTTAACCATAGGGCTTTCTTGCACAAGAAATTCATGTTGCCTGTCTACAGTGCTTTCTTGTGGAAGAGCTCTTGCGCAAGAGGGCTTATTCCTTATGGGGAGAGGAATAAGTCATCTGGAAGAAGCCCTGTTTTCCGACGCTGTACTGTAAATTTCCTTGCATAAGAACGCACATGCAGTGTAGCCGCTCTGCAAGTTTTTGCGCAAGAACAGCCATTCTTGTGCAAAAAGCCTGCAGAGTAGACATAGCCCCAATGTTTCAGAGCTACCTGAGTCAGCCAGGAAAAAGGGCAGGTGAGAGTTACCTGGTTCGGTCAGAAAAAGGTCAGGAGGGAGCAGCTTGGGAGTAAGAGATCAGCAGGGGAGAATTTCCATTGAGCAGGAGGTTGGAGGAGGGGAAATCCAGATGGATTCACTGACGTCCCCAAGTCAAGAGGGCCAGGGCTGATGACTAGAGAGGAACGGAGGAAATTGCCTACTGTGGTCTCTGAGGGTATGTCTACACTACAGCACTAATTCGAACTAACTTAGTTCGAATTAGTTAATTCGAACTAAGCTAATTCGAAT